GAAGGCGTTATCAATGGCTTCAGTGGAATGCTATTGATCAGTGATAGGCTGGCGTGGTTCCCCAGTGTATGTGGAGGTCACAGTAACAGAACCCCAGCCTGAAGAGCCGCTTGTTGTCTTAACACATAATGGCCCTTTTGGAAATAAATAAATAAATTTGCCCTTCATCATATTATTGGAATATTCTTTGCCATTCCCCACCTCCTGGCCCCGGGTACTGTAAGCGTACAGTAGATTGCCACGGGTCCTCTTTCCCCGAGATGCTTCACGGCCTCTCCTCTGCCACTTTGGAGCTCCTCCACAGAAAGCCCAGACCGGGTAGCAGCGCGTATCGTATGAATTCAGGGGGCAACCTGTTGACCTTTTCTCCCGTGGTTACGACAGGACGTCAGCTGCAACGAGATCACATCCCTGCCGCGGCAGATCGGGAGACTCAGATCCCTGCGAGAGCTCAACGTCAGGAGGAACTACCTCAGCCTGCTGCCGGAGGGTAAGCTCGTCCTCTGACTGCTTCGCCTGCTCCTTCTCCTCTGCCGCCTCCTTCCGGCCTCTGCCCACTCTTGCGTGCTCCCCCTTCGTCTCAATACATCTAGTGGATGGTCAAGCCCTGGAAAAGCGGGGTATTTCAGCTCTTTCGACTGCCCTCGTTCATTTTTCTGCTCCCGTCCCTGCAACGTCGCAGCATTTACTAGCGCAAAGAACGCACACGTTTGCGAGCGCAAATATGTATCACCCCACCAAGTGCTTGATTATTTGTACAGGAAACCCTAGAAATCCGTGACAGGGACCTTAAAACGGCTCCCTTGCAGGTCTGAACAGTGCGAGAGCGCTACTGTAGCGCAGCGCAGGACACCCCCTCTCGCTACGCACGCACCGGCGGCCCTCCAGCTCAAACCGAGCTCTAGCCGAGGCGCGGTTAGGCTGAAGGTGCCGAGCGAAGGAAAACGCACTCGTCTGTTTTGATATGGTCACATAAGCGGAATGTAGTTTTCACCATCTCTTCTTTCCCCGCACGAAGAGGGTTTAGACCTGAACTTGATTTCCTAGCAGTTTTAAAAGAAATGTAGTATTTCTTTCCTTCGTTTTCACCTCCCTTTAACCTCTCTGGTTGATAAAGCTTGTGCATCACTATGTCTTTAACGGTGTTTGGCAGTGTTTTAAAATGTCAAATTGCTGTAGAACACACAGGATGAGCCCGTGGAGGTCTGTAGTGATGTTAGCAAGACCCCAAAACAGACACTCTCACCTCTGGTCATGGATGTGTTTTTTTCCTCCATTCCAACTTTTTCCTTGATCCTCTCTGGGAATTTATGTATTTTTTGTTGGCATTCCAAATCTTTAGGAGATTAATAGACTTTCATTTGTCAAAACCATATGGTTACAAGAAGCAGCGGTTTGTGCTACTACTGCAGTTATTATTTTCTGTAGTGGTAATCTAAAAAGGTTTGTTATCAGGAAGTGTTCAGAAAGTTTTAATACAGGAGTGGAGCTTTGTGATAGAGGTCCAGAGTTGTGTGGTCTGTGATTTTCTTGTTGGTGGTGTTCATGTGGCTTAAATACTTCCAGAATGGATACTCTTACCTTTGATTTTGTTTTAAATTTGACAATCAACCAGGGGGATCATGAGGAAACTCCACAGCTTGCTGGTGTTGGAGGTTGGGGAAGGCTGGATGATGTTCAGCTGGTGTGTACGATGGGGACAGCGAATGTGTTGACTTTCACTTCTGGGATGCCAGGATAGAAATGAGCAGGGAATCCTGTTTTTAAGGGGAACTGCAGTGTCAGTTTCTCAGACTGGTTATTAAAGCTCTTTAGCAAAATAAATGCATTGCGATGGTATCACAACTTTTGACCAATTCCTAAATTAAGCACCCAAGCCTGAGCTTTGTGAAAGTACTGTATGGTCACCATGTTGTCACAATCCCCCGTCTTGCCACAGGCAGGAGAGAGAGAGTTTGCGTGAGTTACGACGTGACGCGGCCCTTCCTGTTCGCTAGTCACTGTAATGAGTGATGTCAGAAGATGTACGAGCAAATCAGTACAGGTTGTGCAGCAGCGAGTTCACTGCAGAAATGTTCCAACATGATCTGCATGCAGAGTTAACAAGAAAGTAGAATTTGTTGGCAAAACCGTCTCGGAGTCGAGGGCAATATTTCTACTGGATTAAAAGTGATAACAAGCCTTAACAAGCCTGCTTGTTTAAATGTAATGTAAGACCTCTTCACTCGCCAGATGTTCTGCTGCCGCGTTCTGAATCGAAGAAAATGGTGCTGCACACGCCTGGTCATTCTGTCTGTTTTGTGATGTCAGTTGAAGGTCTAACACGTTATGGTGTACAGTTTACTTCCACTGTGGTTACAGATGCACTCAGCAACACTGTTTCTTTCTAATCCTGAAATACAAAAATCCCGTTTGCAGTTCGCCTTTAACTCTAAGCTTAGTTAGGCAGGGGCTCACAAGTCTCCTGGGGTTTGTAATGTACCTCTGGTCAGGTGGCAGGGTCTGGGTTAGTTTATAGGGTTTTTATTAGCCAAGGGTTTCGGGGCAGTGGACAGCTCTCACTCTCCTGAGACACTTCTGGACCAGCCTGCATTTCTCCTTGTGTGGCTTTGGAGAGTTACAGGAGTCTGGCCCTGTTCTGGGTCACAGACCACACATGCTGTATCTCCAGTCCGATCCAACATGCCACTGCTCTTCTGTCCCTCGTCTCGGATAGCTTCACTCCGGTGAAATTAATTCGATATAATTAGAAAACGTTATTCATAGAACTGACCCAGAAAGTGTGTTTGCAAAGGGAAGTCTTTTAAAAAATGAAATTAAAAAGACGGCCCTAAGGGGGCATCTTAATTGTTGCTTTCTGATAATTGTATCTTTTAAGCTTAATATCACTTGGGTATTTAAAATTTCATTTAGATAAAAAAATCTGTCAAATATGCTCTTAAGTGTTTTTTTAATGCCCTTCAAGATGTGAGTCTCCTGCTAGCATGTCACACTCATCAGCCTCTCCCTAGATATCCTGCTGCAATCACCTGCCTGCACAGACTCCCTCATCATGGCTTATACACTAAATCATTTGATTAAAATTGTCCTTTTATGACGGGTATTTGACAGAATCCCAAGAGCGGATGCTGTTGATTAAAGAAATCATGTTTTTAAAACAATCCTGATTTCAATGTTTCCTGAAGTGTTTCACTTTTGGAACAACTTTCATCTTCCTCCATCTCCTGAACTCCCACACAGAGCTGCCGTTGCCGTCTGTGAAGTTAACGTTTTTAATTTTTATGTGTTTATTTTTAACTTTGAAGCCAACACACTGAAATTTGGCAGCTCTGCATCACAGAGCTCTGTCTAAAGAGAAAGTGACAAGATTCATCTGCTGTATGGTCTTGGCTCTTACACAATAAGGAATAATGAAGCTGTGGTTCATGTTTTTGTGCAATTACAAAAATATCTGATTATTAAAAAGTATCTACAGTATTAGCTGCCTTTTAATAGCATCATAAAAAACATGTAGTCATGTCATCAGTAGTGTTGTCAACATTAAGAAGGGGTGGGGGTATGGTAACCATAGTATAAAAAATGGTAAAACTACAAAATGGGACAAAGCTTTGTGAAAGAAATGTCTATATTGCTGGATTCATAACTGCTGTTTTAAATAATACTTTTAGCTAAAATTGTGTTGTAGTGTCCCTAAACTGGAAAAGATACAACTTTGAAACTATTGCCAATAACCTTGTGTTAGGAGAAGACACATGTAGGCACTGTTAGGTAAGATGAGTCATTACCCTCTCCTTTTGATTAGCTTGTATGGGGTCCTAAGATGGACAAATCTAGTGTACGTGGTCTTTTTCAGCTCTGTCTCCTTGGTTACCTGATCAGACTGTGAAAGCAGGTCTGGACGGAGAGGTGCCTGGAATGGCTGTGTTAAAGGAAACACTCTGCTTAGTTTCCGTAACACACGGCGCTGAGTGGCTGGGCTTGTCCTGTAGGTCCAGCCCGGCGCTGTGTTTGAAATGGAAAGTCAGTTCTCCACACAGACACCATGCTGTGCGGTGTCATTGTCAGAATTTGGTTAATAAACCTGACCGGACCGGTTCTCACTCAAGTCAGCTTTTTGATTCTATCTACAGTCTAGACGTACCCAGTGCTGTAGAGATGGAGAGATTTATACAAAATGAGAATGGCCATCATGGGGACAGCCTCTTTTTTGTCTGAGTATTTTTAAGTCCTTCTGCAGTTTTGTGTTTGTGTTGTTTTTGTCATGAGGTGTAATGTGTGTGAAAACTTCATTGACATTTTACAGTTTGGTAAGGGTGAAGGTCCAGGTGTCACAAGATATTTATTAAATTAGAATACTTTTACATATTTATGACCTGTGAATAGAAATGCCATCTTCACGCTACAGCTTTTGAAATGTTCTTTATAATCTAACCTCCTGATGACGAGGTATGCCATTTTCGAGACTCAATATGCAAAATAATCCTGCTGTACATGGTGTGTCTTAAGTAAGGAGTCGTACAGAATGGTGGCTGTTTTGAGTTGTTTTGTGGAAGAAAAGTTAAATGCGTTTTCCTGCGTGAGTATCATTCAGTACCAAAACAAAAAGAGGAACAAACAATACAGTAAATTTTGAAAACGATATCAGCATAATAATATCGTCTTGCAAATAACCATCTTTCCAACTTAGTTAAATATTTGATCACTTTAGAAATCCGTGTGTACGGCCAGAATACATTTTCAAGCAGACACCTTTCGTTTCAGATCTTGTGGAGCTCCCCTTGGTGAAGTTTGACTTCTCCTGCAACAAAGTGTCCGTGATCCCCATCTGCTACAGGAAGATGGTGCAGCTGCAGTCTCTCCAGCTGGAGAACAATCCCTTGCAGAACCCACCTGCCCAGGTAAGACAGAGGCCTCTTCAGACAGGTGCCAGGTGTGCTGGAGATGCGCGCCCAAGTCACGTTTAAGAACAGGAAACCAATACTGACGGTACGTCAGGTCGGTGGAATAGTGCGGCACATTGAGTGTGGGAGTCACGCGCGGTGCGAGTTACTGTAAAGTCTTCAAAGATTCATGGACACAAAAAATAAAAATGGAGGCCTGATCTGAGAGAGCGACTGAGCAAGAGTTCCCGGTTCCACTGTCCCTGGATCCTGCCTGGAATAAGCAACCGCGCACTTTGAGGCAAACTCTTGGATGAGTTTTATCTGCAGTATGAATAATACCGTGCTGCTGGGCAGAGTCCGACAGCGGCGGAGGTGTGTCATGGGGTGGAAGAGAAACACTGTGTTGTGGGATAGCATGCGGCAGCACATTGAAACCAACTGGAGACCCGGGAATAGTGTATGAACTAAAATATTTTCTATTTTTATTTTCTATATTTTTTTGGTGGTATCGTGCTGGGGATATAGACATAAATTGAATTAGTTCAAGTAGGGAGCTGGGTCGGTATGTGTAGGCCGCACAGGAACAGGTAAAGGTTTATTCCTTTCCGAAAGGAACAGAAAAGAGACACAACGTTTTGGCCATTAAATTGAAGTAGAATAGTACCGCAGTCCATGGAACGGATCTACTGTGGTATAGTGTAAAATCACAGAGAGTTTGAAAATATGATGCAAATCATAGTAAATCATGATAAACCAATTGCGTAAATCTTGCGAAGATCACGACCTTCAGTACCAGTACAAATGTACAACATTCAGTTTTATAAAGGATACAATATGCTCAAATCTATGGAACAGAGTATTTCAAACTAACACATTAGAAAACTGTACTGTATAAGACAGAGACTTTATGGCCACAGCACATCAGCTCTCAAACTCAAAGAGCAGTAGAATACAGAGCCCAGCACTACCAGTGTGGAGGCTTCAGACAAAATAAGTGAACATGTGCAATTCTAACACAGTTCCATCGTCCCAGAGAAAAGAACTGTAGGCCTCTTTTAAGGGCCTGAGCTCAGCTGTTGGACACATCCGGTATCTGATGTTTCGTAGATCTGCATCAAAGGGAAGGTGCATATATTCAAATACCTGACCATCCAGGCCTGCAGGATGGAGAAGACCTCAGATTCGCTGTACCTGCCCGCAATGGAGAGGCTCAGTCTGTCTCAGCCGGCCGCTGGCAGGTGAGTGGATACCCTGAAGATTTCAAACTTCGAGCCGCCAAGCTTCTGCTGCGCTGGTGCTGGAATCGTGGCCCTCTCTGAATGTACTGTACCTCTCTGGTCGGTTACTGCAGACTCTCCCGATACTTTAAAGTTCATTTTTTGCAGTATTTCTCCCTGCAACTTTTTCAGCAAAGAAAACATGTTTTGTCTTTTACATTAAATTAAATCCAAGATGTTTTTATTTGTCTTCAGCTAGGCAGAGCGAAGCAAAGGAAAATGAGTACTGAGACTGCCACTCTACACAAAATACTGTTACATATTATAAAAGGCTAGGTGGTGCCAACAAATTACAATGTGGAAAAAATGGAAGATCAGCTCCTAAGACCAGCTTGTTCTTGCAAGCAGAGTTTACAAGTAAAATACTGGGAAGTGGCAGCATAGATATCTGTGTTCCCAGACACAGTGAGATGGCAGAGCCATGAACAAGGCAGACAAACTACAAAACACATATTAATAAACACACAACACACAACACAAAGCCATTGTAGGTAACAACACTATTAGTTTGATTTGGGTGAAATCTGGAATGGCTTGCCTTTGCATCGGTGTGCAGTCAAATTGTTGTACTCCCCATAGCCTGCTCAACAACAGCACCTGGCATCTATTTACATTTTGCAAATCATTACTGACAGGGGATTTTGTCAAGTGCACAACACAGCCAGAAATGGAGGAGAACCTGAGAACTGTTATAACTCACCAGTTTCTTACGATGAAGACCTAAGGTCTATAAGCCTTTCTTTGCTAGCTGCAGGTTTGCTAACCTCAGAACTTGCTCATACTGGGTGCCTGAAACCCTTTTTTGTGCACAGTTGTGCCCTCAGAAGCTTTTAAAAAGTGCATGCCTCCTCGTGACTCAGTGCTGTCATCTTGCCTGGTGCACCATGCATTTCTCCATCCAGCTAGGCGTGCAGCTGACTGTTTTTCAGTGTCCATTTGTGATTTCAGTGCTGCCTTTACTCTATTCACTAGTATTTGTGCTGGAATATTTGTGCTTTTTCTTTGGGTTATAGGAATGTAACCCCTATGTCTGGTGAAGAAAGGCTGATGTTCTTTATTAAATTGTTGACATCCTAGTTTAGCTCCAATATTTTTAGGAGGAGAGATGCATAGATTGCTGAGAAGGAGAGTTTTATTCTGGTAGTCCAAATTATTTTGCAAGAAATGTATATATACTGTACTGTATATAGTTTCGGAACACCATCACCAAGTGTCCGTGTTTGGATTGCACCTGTCAATTTCTAGGCTGCAGCCTTTTTCCTGACTCTGGGCAGTCCTGTGTGCTCAGTTCAGCTCACAGTGAGCTGCCATACAGGTAGAGAACTGTGTAGCTGTGGAAAAAAAAGGTTGTGAGCAGTTTCATGATGAACACTGCCATTATAAGACCGTGCATATTTTAGAATGTCTCCTGCTAAGCATGTAAGATTTCTTTCTCTTGCTTTTAGTTTTTTTTTCTTATTACCAACAAAACTGGTGCTGCAGTGAGGAAGTGCAGTAACATAGCCTGGCTTTAGTATTTCTTACATATGCCTACTGCATGGGTCTGAAAGCCACTAAATTTCAAAGGTTTATCTTTTTTCCTTTGAGGATTTAAACTCTACATCATGGGAGTGTCCCAAAATACACTCTTTTCCAACTGTAGAAGTAAGTGCATTTTTATTTGTCTGATGTTTTTTATTAACTAGACTGCAAAGTCAGTCAGTGGACAGCTATTTTTAAACCCTTAAATGATGCTCTTCCACAGTTTCCCATGCTACTTTATATGTATCTGTTGTTATTTTTGAATATTTCATTTAAATGAAGCTGATGTGTTGTCATCTTTATGCAGGAGAGATAACGTTTTAGCCGTCTTTGTGGTCTTAAAATTGGCTCAGTCTCAAATTGTCATAATCTTTACTTTAAGTTGGTACAGTTGCTCTAGTCTTTTTTGACTGGGATGATTTGTCTTTAGTGGTTTACTTGAGACCTATTTCTTGTGACAGAATCAGGGTGTCACCTGGGCCAGGGATCCCAGTTGCTGGAGGACCACACACAATGGACCCTTAATTTACTCAACAATAGGAGTGTTTTCAGCTCTATAACATGCTGGGGAAAAACATGCTGCCTTTTAACTGTCGCATTTCATGCATAACATAATATTCTAAACTTTTAAGTGGAACAAAAATTGGTAAAACCCTAAAGTGGATGAAGTGGTTAGAAAAAGGCTGAATGGAAAAACTTGTTAATGTTCCCGTCAGACAGCTTGTCAGTTCAATTAAGGCTTCAATTACGTAATTAAGCTCAGCTGAAATGAGGTCTGGAGGCCTCAGCAGTGACAGGATGAGGAAGCCCTGCTCTGGGCTACAATCCCCCCTCTCTGAACTGGCTTCATCACTCTGTTCTCCTCCCCACTGAGAGCTGGTGTGTGGGGAGCGGACTGGAACATCATCCAGGTGGGGCTGCACACTGGTGGTGGTGGAGGGGATCCCCATGACCTGTAAAGCACTTTGAGAGGAGTGTCCAGAAAAGCGCTGTAGAAGTGTAAGCAATTATTATTACAGCTACATTCTGACACCCTGTATAGCAGGAGGGCACAACTCTGCCCCTGAAGGGCTTGACTCTTTCCAGTTCTTTTCCCGCCTGAGTCATCATTACCTAACTAAACTCATTACTTTTTAATTGGACAAGCCGAAGCCTGTTCTTAGGAAGCTAGAGGTTTAAAGAGGCCTATAATACCCTTTGGACAGTGGGCATCGAGGACCATAGTAGGGCCCCACAGCTGTATAGACTAGTAGCCCCTGATGCAATCTGACCCCGGCTTAGGAACAGACCGTTTCTCATGGCATTTCCTCCATACATTGTTGTAAGGTCTGAAGGAAGGTTTTGTTGGAACCCCTCTTTAAGGAACAGCTTTGCACTGCAGCCATCCCTCTGCAGCACAGTTCTCTGTCAATTATTTTATCCACTTTTAATTTTTTTTCTAAATTTTAATTCAAAAAGCAGATTTAGTGCCAGAGAGTATAACGGCTCACCTCTCTGGAGACCCAGACTCTTTGAAGTGAGCACACGAGGCAGAAGACTATTATGAGGGTTCTAATTTTGTGATTGGAGCGATATTCAGTTCTGCTCTTGCATTGCGATTAACAGCTCCTTCCCCAGCCTTTGCCTCTCTCCTTGCTGGATTTCTGTAGTTCACCGCCTGACGTGATGTGTACATGTTCCACTTCTCACTTCTCGTCCCCCTAGCATTGAAGATATTGATCAGAATAAGAAACAGGACACTGATTCCGGAGTTGGAAGTGATAATGGAGATAAGCGCCTGTCCGCCACAGAGGTAGGCCTTTCAGAATGTCTTCTGGGTCAGCGTATGTGTTCTGCATATTAACCATGACAGTTTTTATGTAAATATGTGGTGTATTGCTGTAGTTAGTATACTCTGAATGAACAATAGAATAAATATTAGGATGTAGTTGATGACTACTGGTATGTTGTGCTATGTGAGGAAATTAACTTATAGAAACCCATTGGTTTTCACCACATTTTGCAATTAAAGTTTCTAAGCTCTAAAAATAACAATGGTGACATAGCTGCTTTTCATACTACACAGATTAAAATTGTGCAGTTACTACATATGTTCAGCTAACAAAACACAGCTGGTTATCAACGCTAATATTTACTGTTTTTTCTTCTGTGGTCTTTATTATGTGGCTGGTTCTGCATATTCAGAGCAGAAAAAATAGCTTCTGTTTTGGTTTATCGGGTGCAGCATCAGGGTACAGATTTCCCAGAGCGGACACAGGGAGTAATTCAGGAGGGAATGAGAGATGATTGATTCCTTCCTGGGGTCTTCTAGTGCTAGCTAGAGTCTCACAAGATCAGTTCCATGCTTCATTAAGGTGCTTAAACTTTCATATCAGTAAAAGGGTGTCTTTTGCTTGCTTTGTGATAGACTACTAAACTGTATAACACTAACCGAATGTCTGAAAGAATAACAAAACCAGGCATTCTTATCAGAGATGGGAAGGGTAGGATATTATTCACATAGGATGGCCTGGAAGTGAGCTTTTCTTTATTCTGGTATGTTTAATGACTTTGCGGCTCACAAACAGAATGAGGTCACCTAAGCTTCTGTTTGGTGAAGGTCTGTGGGTATACAGTACAGTATATGAGCAAGCACCTGTGTATCCCACCTTTCCTTGTGCTTTCTCCAGACACTATTGTTCATCATTTCTGCAGATCTAAAGGATAGAGGGTAGATCTCCAGAATCAGCGGGCATTCAGATTTATGAAGCTCGCTGCAGCTGAGTGTTTTAACCGGTCAGCTTTGAAATAACTGAGTAGGCATAAGGGAATTAACAGATTCGTAACGTGGTTGTTCGACTGTAAAATGAAAAACCTTTGCTTTGTAGTAAAAGCCAAGCAGCTCTGCTGGGTTTCGTCCCTCTTCAGTCTTTTTGTAGTAAGGCAACTCTGTAAGTACAGTAATTGATAAGTGATGAAAGTGCATGTTAATTCCATGGCAAAATGATGAATTTGTGTCACCTACACTTACGATTAACCAACCCCTGTCAAGTTTATAGAGGCCCTGTTTTTGTCAGTAAGTGATTTTCATCAGTTTCTGGCGATCATTTCATCTGTTTTCCGTAACATACCATTTGAGGTTTATTCAGGATGTTGGGTATCATCAAATTATCTTTGACAGAGAGGCTCGTGTCCTGTATGCTTGACTGCTCCAGACAGAGCTTAGAGTTTGCTATTCTCATTGCCCTCTGTCAAGGAGAGGAGCAGAAGGGGAAAGTCCTGTTTATTGTTGAGCTATAAGAGAGTGCAGAGAACTTGGATTGAGTTTAGTACCACACATACACTTCTTTGATCGTTGTTCAGTAGCTGAAGCGAATATCTGTCAGAAATTTGGTTACTGGAGATATGGTTTTGACAGATTTTATGGTTTTTGTTTTCAGTTAAGGATGGAATTGCCTCATGTCCATCCTGCTGGGCGGGCAGGATGGCTTCCTCTCTTTCAGTAACTTTCTTCCCCTCTGGAATTCCTGCAAACTATCTGGCACAGCATCAGCCTTCCAGTCATGGCCTAATAGGTCCAAATCTGCTAGTGTCACTGTTTACAGGCTTATAATGTCAGAGGTGGGGGGGATATGTGTTGTATGGAACTAGGGTGCTTCTTTGCTTGGGATGTGTTTAGAATGTGGATTTTGTCAAGCAAAATGCGCTCTCTGGCATGGCCAGCCACTCACACAAGGAGCCTGGTCTCGTTTCAGCCATCAGACGAGGACAGTCTGAGCCTGAACGTCCCGATGTCTCACATAACGGAGGAGGAGGGCCTGAGTAAAGAGGACTCTAGTGAGCAGATCAGCGCACTGAAAGGTACAGATCAGTATCTCTAGCTTGCAGGGGCTCGTTCAAGCGTGCTGTAATGTGACACGCCGACTCCGTTGAGCTCAGGTGCTCAGCGTGAGACAGGTGCACAAAAGGCATGCCCTGCAGGCAAGGCCAGTACTGTACTTGTGCAGCGTGTCCATGGGAATTAGGCTCTGCGCTTCTGTGAAATGCAGAAAAATGTAAACATGTTTTGTTGGACAGCTGAGAACTGTTACACGGCACACAGTGTCCGGGTTTTTTACAGTGATAGTGAGTCAGTGGAAGTGCTAATACTCGGATATAACAGTTCGGTTTAAGATTAAGATTTGAGAAGACTCTAGGATCATTAAACTAGATGGGCCTCTTCTTGTTTGTCACCATTCTTATTTGCTGGTTTTGTAAATACCAATATTATACAAGTGCCAAAGATACAGCAGCAGTGCACTGATTAGCAATGAAGTAAAAACCCAACAGTTTTGCCACTTCTTTGTAGAGCTTCAGTGCTTCTCATTGTGATTATCATGTTGCAACCTATTTCCAGGGAGTGATAATAGTTAATATTAATACGACCACCAGCAAATACAGTGTGTGTTCATGTATATACAGTATAAATCATATGAATTCAAACTGTAAATTCCCCACTTGCTTTGGGGCTGTGTTGCTGCCCTGCACAGCTGCTTCTGAGCAGCATACTTGATCAGTATAATCACAAAATCATAGGTGTCATGAGAAAAGACAGCAGTGGGTGTGATTAGTGAAGTACAATCTCAGCTCATTTTCTGACTTTGTCGTCTGTTGTATACTGTATGTAGACGCTTATGCTCTTGAAGTAGACTTAACCTAAAGCCTGTCTTCCTGTCTTAAGCAGTTCAGGTCAGTCTTACATTACAGTAACACACTGAGGTGAAGGCTATATGGCATAAATATCACAAGAGCTCAGGACACAGGACATCAGGGGTTTTGTGAATTCTTACCCCACACAAAACTGGCCTGGTCACAAACACAGGAGCTACACAGGAGTAAATTCTGTCTTCATCGTCCATCCTTTATCCTTCCTGATACAGTGATTTAATTATCTGTGTGACTGCACTCCACAGCATCAGTTTCAGTTCTTAAATTAGGTCCCTTGAAGTCTCAAATGGGAATAGAATCAGGGTTTTTTATTTGCTTTTTTTCTAGGCCAGGAATAATATTCTCTCAAAGATTTCAAGGTGCTTTAACTGCTTAGTCTTTTAAATCTTACATACTGTACTATTGTACAACACCAAGGCCTGTGAAGAGACTTCACCTTAGTAAACAAGATAAATATTTGCTATCGTATATGGTATGTTCCACTTAAACACCTGAAGAAAACAATGATTAGTACAGTATTTGTTCAAGGCCAGATTCGTGTTTAAATGCTTTGTTTTTTCCTCTTCCTGTTTTTTCTATAGTGGATTCTGACCAGGACTGTGTGAAACTGATTGAAAACAGTAACACTGAAGTGCGACAGGACAAGCCAGCGTACAGAGATTCTGGCTTGAGCACACAGTTCGAAAGCTACATAAAGGCAGGTCATCAATATTCTTTCACTCTGGTTCCCCACGTAGTGCTCCTTGCAGACCCGCCACCATTGTAAGAGTTCTATAAAGCGGGGTGAAAAAATAAGAATTGGTGAAAGATTTACGTTGCCTATAATGCAGTGGACTAATGTTAATCATTTTGTGGCTTCTGAATTAAGATAAGATGAGCTTTCTGTTGTATAAATAAATCTCGTATACATTCGTATTTGGTGTGAAATCTGGACGAAACTGTTGAAGTGAGGCCATTCATACACCAAAAGCTATATCTTAAATACATATGTGATATACAATACCCTTGTATATTCTTTATTAAATGAACTATTACAAATAAAATGTTGCTTTGTGCGGTGCTATTAAGACTATAGTGTCTTAATAGCTATAGTGTCTTAATACCATACAGTAATACAGTATGGCATGTTTTGAATTTAAGCTAGTGTCTTTTTTGTCTTTAAGCAAGACATATTATGCAATCTGTAACTCATTCTGTTAGCGGACAGTTTTATTCATATAGCTGGGCTATGAAGAAATCTGGAGGTTACTGTATATTTTTAGATATCATGGTGTTAAACTGGTTCTAAAGCAGTCTAAATGGGATGTGTGTTGTTTACTTACATAAGCTGTGGTCTGAGATGAAAGTGTTAACTGTAAGACAATTGAATATGAACTAGAAAAAGCTGCCTGGGTGTGACCTCTAGCTACAAACATGAGATGAATGCATGGCTTCTTCTGCAATAAAGATGAGTGCTGACTCCATTATTTTCAGCTGCAGATTTTCAAAACAAGACCGACACAAGATGAGTCTCAACCTGACCTGACTGTGTTGCTAGAACTATTTCGTTGAAGAAGCTTCAGGGCTTTCATTAAACAAGCCTTGTGTGGACTTAACTCGGTTGATTAAAATCCTGACTTGAGATAAGCCCTCTGCGCAACTTCCCACATTTCCCTAAATGTATTTGATTCTGCTTTTTTTCTCTTGTAGTTTGGACATAGTAGACGTCAGTGTACAGTACATCAGTTTGTGTGAAGAGCTGGGAATGCCCTGTAGCTGGACAGCACTCTTTATAAGCCCTTCTCAGGGGGTCAAGGCACTAGAGGGTGCAGCTGACTTTAGAATTGTGGTTGTAATGGAGTAAAGACTGATTGTGTGCAGTCCTGGGTTATACTGTACTATGATGTCTTCTGCTCTCTGACAGGGTAGAGCTGCAGAGTTTGATGAGCCACTCAGAATAGAAGAAGACACAAGCTGGACAATGGAACAAATGTGAGGGCCTCTTTTGTGTTTAAAATCCCATTTTCTATTAAAAAGTTCGGAATACCCGACTTCCACTTCCAAATTTCCTACAAAGCACTAATTATGCACAAAATACACCCCCTGAAACACGTGCAGGATCAGAATGAGTGGAGCCTGTGGTGTTTAAAAGCAGCCAGCCATTTGATGGTCAAATGGGCAACCAAATTAGCAAGCTTTGAAAGAAATGAATGGCTGTCAGTCCGTTTTAAAAAAAAGAATGAATTACAATTCATGCATTCGAAATCTGTGAAAGGAACCACTGACAATGAAAGATAACCTTTGGTTTTGGTGACTTGAATGTAATGCCTTCAGTGTCTGGTTTTCTTTTGCAGGGCAAAGCCAACAGGTAATCAAGAGATTCAAATTGAAATGATCAACCAACTAAGGGAGGCAGTGGAATTATTACAAGACCCTAACAGGTTAGTTCCTTGAAACCTCTCCACTGAGATATTCAGTCACGATACTGAAATGTTCATTGTTTTCTGAGCCTTATCTAAAAGTACTCAAAGTATAACTGGTGATTTAATGCACGTGGACATTTTGAACTTTTTCTTTCTCGCAACAAAAATCAGAGAGATTCAGTGGCTATTTTTGCTAGCGCAGGCAGTGCTTTACTGTGTTTGTTTGATACAGCATGCAGCCTCACATTAGATTAACACAACATTTGTACTTTGTACTGTCAAAACTAGCTCATTTGTTTTCATATTCAGAGCACTGAAATAACTGCCTTTCCAGAGTTAGAACAGCACTCAGGCCTTTTGGGACACATTTGCTGTGCTCTAGGATGCATTTGAAATGCAGGAAAAGAGTTTTTTTAATAATTAGTTTTATAGGACAGGTCTGATGATGAGCGCTGATTTAGACCAGCTGAAATAATGGTGGTCTGAGGCAGAGCCTTACAAAACCCCCAAACTGCATATATCACATCATGTTACAATCAAAGGAACAGTGTTCAGTTCTGTTTATTTGTCACGTGCACAGGTGCAGTGCACGCACTATTTGCATGTAGGCTGCGATACTGTAACAGCTCACTAATTGATCCTCATTATCTCACCACGCCTCTTCTTCCGCTATTTAAACCTTCATCAACACTGCACCGGTGCTCGGTATCAGGAGAGCCTCCAACCTCGAGCTCACCGCCCCCTCGCGAAGTTTGTTCTGTCTCTTCAGGACTTTCTGGCTTTTTGACCTCGACCTGCTCCTGCTCGGCCACGCTTTCTGTCTCTAGTCCTTCAGATCCCGTTTGCCTCGATACACACCCCGACCTCTAACCTGCACCGGGTCCTGTAACCACCTGCTCTTAGCAGATACCAAGACATTAAGGAAACATCAAAACATAAACACAGAACAGCAGCAACAACAACAAGTTAAGTAACGAGGATGGAACGATGACAGAAACTGACACGACACCTTTCTCTTTTGACTCCATCTGTCCTGCCCTGGCTGTCCGCCTGGGGTCCGACCTCAGTCCTGTTGAATTTCTCACTCTCGCTATGTGTTCCCCAGAGTGAACACGAGCCCCACGGACAGCGCCGAAGTCCTCCTCTACCCTGTGGACACGGTCTCATCGGAGGACTCAGTGCTCAAGTAAGCCTTCTTGTCTCTTGTTGAGACGCTTGCCCATCAGTCTTCCCACGCGGAGCTGGCAGGTGGAGTGACTGTGCTCCTTCTTGTGTTTCCCTGTCCACAGCGGCCAGACCAGCACAGACGGGCCGACCACACCGAAGGTAAGCCATTCCACAGCTGTGGGCTGCTCTCCTGTTTAGGCAGGCCTGCTCACGTGAAGGCGTGTGCCCAGTCCAGTTTGTCTTCACCCTGCTACAGTATTAAAGTGCAGTTCAGTATTCAACTCTGGAGGCAGGCTGTTTACATTGCTGTGGTCTCAGTGCTTTTGCTTTTTGCTTTGTTGTGCTATATATGTATTTACATGAGTAAGTGCTGTCCTTAATCCTGTGTTGTCATGTTCCCTAATCTTGTGTTGGATTCTTTTGGGTTAGGACACTATTCTTGTTAAGAGCCAGAGCTGACAGCAGGATAGGTCTGGAGTTCACAGAGCTTTCCTTGTCAGAGGAAGGGAATGCAGTTTATTTGTAAATCGCAGTTTTAGAATTAGTGACAAAACAAGGCACAGAATAACAGTTTCTAAAACTGTTGTATCATTTGTAATGGAAGTCACAATCTGCATAACAAAATTCTTGACTCTTTCCCTGTGTTGAAATCTTCAAAAGCTTATAGCGATACATAACTGTGTACTGCTTTAAAGAACAAGAGAAAATGAAACCAGGCTTCTAAAAAAACTGGAGCATTTCTTGTAAATGTATCTTATCTTTGCTTGCTGAGCCCTTGCAGTGTTGTCTGGAACTAATTCAAGCATTAAAACCCTTAGTGATCTTTTTCTCCTGGCATTCTTCTTTATGCATCTGCTATTAGATAATACAATCTGAGCCATTTAGTTCTCATTTGGAGACGCATAAAGAGCTGATGAATGCTAAGGTGCTTGATATGTTGTAGAGTGAAAGTTCTGATGGAGGGCTTGAATTCCAGAAGAAGAGGGAGTTGATTCTAGAGAAAGCCAGGCTTGAAGCCCAGCTTGCATGCCAGCAGTTTGAGAGACAAATGTCACAGCAGGTAACGAACGAATTCACTGAGGTAAAAACACCTTCTGCCGCAGCGCACTGCCCAGTGCCAGACTCTAGTCTCCACTCATTCGTGTGTGTGTAGCTGTTGCATCGTGACGTTCCATTCTGTTCACTGTGCCAGACGAACAGGACAGGATACTTCTCTTTCCTCTGCCTGTTGTGTCTCTGTGTTATGTTCTCTGCTTGTAATGGACTCTGAGAAACAATCAGAAATGAAAATGGGCCTCTGTTCATCGGCAATGTGGGTCCAGAGCTAGACTCCCTGATTTTCAATGGGCTTCTGTCAATAGCTGTATGTTAATCAGGTGTGTGGCGGTTCGCCTCTAATATGTTAATGTGGAGAAGTGAGTCTTATTTTTAATAATTTCCTAACCATGTTTCAAGTCTTGCATTGTGCAATGGAACATAACCGAATGATCTCATTCCCATCTTGTTTGTTTTTGATCCAAACAGATAGTTTCAGGAAAGTGTTTTGTAATGGTTTGGAAAACTGTTAGGAGTTTGATGCAAGAAAGACTCCTGATGACCCACAGTAGAAACAGTAACAGTTTGCAGTTTATATCTGTTGCCTAAGAAAATGCCTGTAGTGCCCGAGCAGCTGTGAAAGCAAAAATAACATTTGACGAAGAATAAATGTGATCTTTGTGGTAAGAATTTCAAAAGCATCCAACAATAAACTGATCTGGAACATCAAAATGTAAACAGATCTTTTATGAAATATAACTTAGGCTGTAGACGGGGCACACAGCCAAGAGTGGCCACACAGAGCTACAAAATAATGTGTGCAACCTGAACAAAAAATGATGTTTTTTTTATCTGCAGAGTGACTTGAGTGCACAGGGAGCACAGAGTGAACTGAGGAGGGATTGTGGGGATGGGGTAAGTCCCTGATAAAGCCTTCCTTTTTTCCACACTTTCTCTTCCATTTTATTTCTATGCCTTTCTGTTAGTTCTACCAATTATATCTTTAAAGTGACCCAGATAGAACACTGGCTTTGTGAAGTGCTTTTTTATTAGACTGAAGATAAGGATCTTATTGCACTGGAAATGTATTAGAAAGAGCTCAGGAAGGTTTGTTTTGACGTCTTTCAGTATATCAGAGTCCATTTAAATGTGTCCATTTTGTAGAGATGTATCAGTCTTTTTTAACTTAGAGAAAATGCAGGTTATTGACAAAAACATAAAAACATAAATATACAGTCACTTAACAGGGCATTGGGCCTTCATCGCACAGCCGGTATGGCCTCTGTGCACTGTAGTACAGAGCCGACCAGTGTCTGCAGGAGGGCTGCAGCACCATTTCTTGTGAAATGTGGTAGACGTGACACTGCGTGGATCTATCAAATTACAAATGGGGTGAGAATAATGACTCTGTGATTTCAGAGCTTTTTCTCAATCACAACATTTATTTCTGTTGTATGCTTTTGCTTCATAGGCCTATTGTAAGAATATAAAAGTGTGACATGACAATGATTTCCAGCAGCGAAGTGTTCTGAGTATCTTATCCAGCCGCTTTGTGAAGCGGGAGCAGTATTTGTTCATGGTTGAAGCTTGAACACCTACTGTCTTTTCCTTAATGTTTTCTGTTTTTCCATTTTCTTCAGAGAAACAAGTTAAATAAATGCACTATATATGGAATATATATTATATATATAATTATTTAAAAATATTTTTATTGTTATAAAAAATCAGAAAACAGCTGTCAGAAATGAGAACAAAACACAACTATTCCTTGTATTCTACAACTACAGCTACCGACTCTAAAACTGAAGAACTATACTAAAAACTACGCTTAAAAAGGATAAAAAATCACTCAATCAAAAATCGCGTGACTTTCAACAAAGATAAGAACTGAAAAACATATGAAATATGTACATATCAAACCAAAATAATGATTTCACGAAGATGATGGCTGACCCCCGTGATGTGTGTCAGTCGATTGTAGATATCAGTGTGGATACAGGCTGTGACTGCATATCCTTTCTGCTGACGTTCAGCTGATTGTATTGAGCAGCCTGGTCAAGCTCTCTGAAGGGATGGTTTTACTGGGCTCTCGTTTTACATGCTGACTTCCTTCTTTTTGTTCTGGTCTGTCCAGGGGGAATCAGGAAGCTGTGCATCCTCTCCCTCGCTTAACTCTCCCCCTTTTGGGCTGAGGCCTCGATCAGGTAGGTGCAGACCTGGGTTGTGACCGGGGTTGGGGGGTGTCCTCAAGGGGGCAGCCTGCACTCATAGTTACCACAATTAAGCACTGTACTGCGACGATATAGTGGGTATATATTGACACGGTATATTGCTACAATCATATCGCAACAGCAGAGCAGTCTGCAGACACCTAGATGAGCCAAGAGGTGAATCTATGTTCGATACAAAGTATATCAATCATGGGTCCGGCATTTAATGTTGCAATTTCAAGGGTGTTGTACAAAATTTAGATAGTACTAAACTGTTTACATAACAGCACATGGCAATAAACTGCTTAACAGAGGACTATGCTGACTTTATGGAGAGATCCAACACAATGTCCACAGATGAAGGTATGAGAAGACTGCGGTTAAGCGCCTGTAATATCGTCCTCTGGTATTAAACAGGACAGTTGTCACTCTTGGTACTGATGAGGGAATGCTCATGAAGGACTGGATGATGTCTGGGCCTGTTACATGATGGTACATCTCGGAAGAAAAGCAGTAAAAATTCTGTTTGGATAAAAGGATGAATGCATTGGATTATCGAGAAGCTTCATATTTCCAGCTCTCCTCTCCCGTAGTTTCTGTCAGTAGAACCTAGGCTAGCTCTTGTCCTCCCCGTACTCATCACTTACTGAGTTTGGGCCATTAATCACCTCAAAATGGGACAGAAGCGCCTGGAGCAGAAGAGATTCTGTTAAGAAAACCATTTCAGGGGGCTGTGGTTTTTTTTTAACAAAAATCCATTGTAGAAAATCTCTCCTTTTATTAAAAAAACTCCTTTTCCTGCCAATTGGCATGTGTTGCAGAGCTTATCTAGAGCAAACAAACATCTTGCAGCCTGCCGCTGAGAGACAGGACATCTGTGCTGTGTGATGCCGTGAACAAGCCCAGGCCTGCCGTTCAGGCGCTGGCCTGGAAGCTTGACGCTCCAGCAATGCAGGCCCTCCTAGGCAGCAGCAGTTTTGTTTTAGTGGTTAAGACGCTAACAAAACGGAAAACTGTACCCAGAATGCTTCAGACTTTCAGGGGGCAGAGCGGTTCTGCAAATCAGAGTCTTCTGTCCTGAAGAGCCCATCCTTAATGCCATAAACTTGTCTCTTAACTGGATATTTAGAACTTTTTGTTTTTTAAAAAAAAGACCTTTCCAAAAAACAAACCGGGTTCTTAGCCCATGCACAATGTACTGAGCTTGCACCGCGGATTGTCAGACACCACCACGAGGATAGACATCTGAAACTGGACATTGAGAAGGGAGTTGTGCTTCAAGCTAATAAAGCCAGATTCTGTAGCTACAGTAACTGACCAGTCCACTGGGAGCTGGATTACAACTACAGAATTGCAGCATCCCAGAATTACTGCCATGAGTCTTCTGACAGCCCCTTTCCTCCTCACAATGAATGACCTGAAGCCTCTGGGTACAGTTTCAAGGAGTCTGCTGCAAACAACTTGCTCAACCTGCTGCTCCATCGCAGTCCCACTGGTTGTAACAATAGCAAGAGGCAGGAGTTTAGTCTTTCCCTGTGTAGCTTTAACAGCTAGCATTAACTGCATGCCATGAAATCAAAATGTAAAAGCACTAACATTGGATTTTTTTTTTATTATCCTCCATGTTTCTGTTGCACTTCTTTGGCACTGTTCCTCTCTGCCCTGTTACCCCCCCGATCGCTGCATGACTCCTCACGCCACCCTCAACGACTTGCACCCCTTTTGCCTCCCGTGTGTGTGTGTGTGTGTCAACTGCTGCTGCTGGTCCCTTTCTCCTTCTCTTTTCTTGTGTGTGTTAATTTTCTGGTTTCCCACTTCTGGGACATGGACCTGCCCTGCCTCCCCCCGCTCCTCCAGAGCCCTCCTCTCCCCCCCCCTCCTCTTTCAGCCCCGCCACACAGGCCCTGACAGGGGATACAGGCACCCTCACTGCCCCAGCTGAAGGAGGCGTGCGAAACAGGGGTAGGTTCTCTTCCTGTCGTACCCGGTCAGAGCTGAGCGAGCGCGGGGCAGCGGCTGAGCCGGCTGGGCCTTGTTTCGGCTCTTCCTGTGGGTTGCGGGTACGAGCTGTCACATTTCAGGTGGGGCTGTAAAACCGCTACACGGGAATCTGCCCGGTCCAACAGCGCGACAGGGCTGTCTCGGGCCCGTCTTCTAGCTTCTGCTGAGTTTGAACAGAGCTTGCTGGGTCAGCTTCCTCTGTCGGTGTGGGCATGCGCAGGACACGGGGCTGCTGGCTCGTGGGGAGGTTTTTCTGACGTTCAGCAAATGTTTGTTATAAATATGTGTCTACGTTAATTCTGGGTTTCCGCTCATTTCTTTTGGGAAACGTGGCCCGTGGTTGTTTATTCTGCTGTCGGCAATCCCAGTAAGTGTAGGAGACTGGACGATCAGATTATCTGGATTTTTTTTGGGTTGTCTTTCTGTCTTACGTTCACTCAAAACAATACTGCTCTCCCAATAGCTTTCCTTTCGCAGCTGTGTCCCGTAGTGAGTCTCGGATAGCGACTCAATGCTTCTGTTTTAAAAAGTTCCTTTTTAGATTGAGAATAGTCAATTATGAAATTATTGTTTTTGTTTCCAAAACCCATGACCGCACGCAGGGGAGAAAGACCATCTTGTCGCGTATCACAGGCAACTCAGCCCCATACTGGGGGTTCAGAGCTCACTGACAGCACTGTGTGCCTGCAGATGACCGGCGCTTAGAGAATCCTAGTCTCAGCAGGCTAGTTACAGGATGAAGGTTCGAACCCGTGATCTTAGAGTTTACCCCGCACTCAGGCCTCGCCAGTTACTGAAATCAATCCCAGCACTGCTCTGTGGTTCAACTAGATGTGGTTGGCATGACCTCCAGACCCCTTCCTTTACCAGGTGTTAGTTACTGTAGCACATCAGCACATCTCTAGATGAGGCTTAATGACCCCTCACCCTGGCTTCAACGTGTGTGCCATTGTTTTCTGAATGCTCATACTGTAGGACACTAATGGTTGATTTAGCAGAAGACTGGTTGATTTAGTTTCCCGCTACAGACAGAAAAAGTTAGCCGCAGTTTCAGAGGTTCGTACGCCTCTTCCCTCTGTCTCTGAGGAGCGTCCCTGACTGCAGCCGAGAGTGTGCTCTGATACGGGCTGCTCAATACGGGCAGTAGCTCCGCGGAGGAAGGGCCTGTGTTATCTGGAAACTGTAGATATACATTTGTGGTGAGTGTTGGTTCCCAGCAGTTAAGCATTTCCCATTCACTCAGTGTACTGTAGGTGTTTCAGGAAATATCTCTGGGAGGACAATACACTCTCCACTTTTTACCCAAAGCTGGACACATTTTCGACCCATTGCTGAGAGGGCTTGCAATACATTTCGACACCGGCTTTGTGAGTTCGGGCTTGTGGGAGTAGGCAGCAGCCCGAGCTCCTGGGACCTCCTGGTCAGGGTTTGGAATGGGAGAGCTGCGGAGACAGAGTGCCGCTACGAGTGGTCCTGGGGGACCAGCGGGCGAGACTCTCCCCTCCGGACGTCCGTTTCTGACCCAGCGCCTCAGCCTGGTGACTGCTGGGGACATTGTCCTGTTGGAGGTGCCGTCCTTTAGACGAGGCGTTTAAAAGAAGTCCTTGGTCATGAAAGATCCTATGAGCACCTTACATCACTCTGGGCTTGAACAATCTGGACTTCCCACAGCTCTCCTGTCATTCAGCTGGTGAGGTGTTTTCTCATTCTTACCTGATCTTTTACGTTAGTGGGGCCTCTCCTGTGTGTAAAAGCACTTCGGGGATCATTTAGGGCAAGAGCTGCTGTATAATGCAAAGAACTGTTATTAATTATTAACTCCAGGATTCAAGGATTTTCCTGTCTCTGCTCCGTTATGGAGGAACCCGAAGTGTGAATATACACTTGTGGTGAGGGTGAAGACAGAATTGTTTTCTTCCATAAAAAAACATTTCTCTTGTTAACCTTGGGTGAGCTGTCCAAGCCTATTCTGTGGACTGCACTTCATAAACTGTCCTGTTCATCTCACTGGTTCAAATGCCGGCTTTAACCGTGTAAATACATCTGTAATTTATTTTGCTGATGGCTGTCATGTGTAAAAGTGGGCGAAGTACACAATGCAGAGCAACATTAACACTGTCGGCATACATTGTTCACCTGCACAGGGCCGGTTCGCTCACTGTTTGTGAATGGAAATAACCGGAAGAAAGTGCTGACTGAGAGAAATGGAAAATGAATTGATGGGTAGCAAGGCAGCATCATCATAGTGAAGTGAACTGATGATCTCTGTACTTTACAGCCCCTCACACAGAACAGTGCTTTAGCAATTGGTCTGTTTCTATTAGCTGAGATTGGCTTGGGAATACAAGGTGTCCTTACTGTTCTTTCCGCTGGTGTTTCAAGACATCTTGTGATCGTGGCTGTTCCTTTCAGTCTTGCAGAGCTTTCCAGGTTATAGATTTACCCACAGCGTACTGACGTACAGTATGCACCCATCAAAGATAAGCAATCAATAACACAAAACACCTGCATCAGGTGGAGATGACCTGCTCATGAATCATTAAAGTGTTACCTTGTGTGGCAGCACCTTGTCTTTCCAGGACACGGGCATGGTCAGTGAAAATAAACACCCGAGTAAAGACCCAGTAAGCCCCTGGATATGAAGCCCAGGGTTGAAATCTCACCCTCTGGGAAAGGAAGAGTGTTGGACTGAGCCAGCTGTTTAAAGGACAAGGGCTTGCTTACGGGTGGGCGTTCGCAGATCTTTATTTATTGTGTCAAGGCTGATTCCAGCTCTTTTCAGTATCGTTTTTGGCCCCGTACCAAAGACGTTAGCGTGTATGAATAAAATTGTTGTTTTCACATTGAAAAGCTCTCAGAAAAGGATTTTTAGTCTATCGGGGGATAAAAGGGGGTTTATTAAGGGTGGCATCGTGGAGCAGTTGTTTGAGCTCTGGAATCCAGAAAGGCAGGTATGGGGTCAAATCTTGGGCGAGACACTGCTGTTATTGCTTTGAGTGTGATACTTTATTTCGGTAAACTCCAGCAATTTTCTAACTGTTTATCCAGTATAGGGTAGCAGGGGAGCCGAGCCTATCCTGGCAAGCAGTGGGCACAAGGCAGGCTAAACTCTGGATGGGATGCCAGCCCATTACAGAGCAGACACAGACACAAACACTGACACGTACACGTTCACAACCAGGGCCGTTTTAACAGATGCCAGTGAACTTGTTGGCATTCAGGTCCGCCCTGTGTTCGTGGAGGTTTCCTCTGGGTGGGAGGACATACAAACTCCATGCTGACGGCACCGAACGACTCACACCCAGGGCTCCAGCGCCGTGAAGCAGCAGTGCCAACCACTAAGCTGCCCTGCGGCCCTCAGTCGGCGAGCAGTCTCTGAAGTCATCACTGTACACGAGCATTTTGTGAAAGGGCTGATTGAAGAGCCTGCCCATGCTTTCCGAGGGCAGAGACGCCCTCCTTGCGTGATGGAGCATTATGACTGCTCAAGCTGTCCAAGGCAACGTCTTGAGTTTGCGGGACAGAACTGCGTCGACAGTTTTTCCAGTCCCTTTGCGGTAGAGTTTATCTATGTTTGTTTTCACTGTGAGTTACGTTTGGTCCCTGGGGAGAAAGTAAAACAAAATGGCGTGGAAAAATGTTGCGATATTTCATCCCCCAGCACAATCTTTTGAGGGCAGCCAAATGTGAGGGCCTGCTGACTCCCTGTGGGCCTTCCGGGACGTTGCTGTCCGTTGCTGTGGAGCGTCCTGGACAGGAATGTGCTGTTTCTCAGGGGTCAGGCCAGCTGACCCGTGTGCCTCTTTTTCCACATGACCGAGGGTACCCTGGTACCCTGGCATGACACCGCACTGCTCTGTCCTTGACTCTGGCAGGCAGAGGCTATGTTCCATGATGCCAGTCTCTCGTCAAAAAGCACCAATTTTCCGCCCGCTTTGTAAGTGCGCTGCAGCATAGCCGGCACATCATTTGCATGCGAAGGCGGGCTGCTCTGGTAGCTTTTACAGTGCCCTAGTGTTGGAAAATATTCTCTTTCACGATGTGTCTATCGTTTTTTTTTTTTGCTTTCGGCCGTCTTTGTGACAGGTCAGGTATGATACATGTTGCCCTGCAGACCAGTGATAAGGAATGAAGCGCGAGATAGCAGGGAATCCTCAGTTCTGCTTGTAAAGCCCACACACCTCCCCTTGTTTTTAGGTTGTTACCCATCAGGATGAGGCTCACCTCTGATGACGTCTGTCCTCTTGTCTGGCAGAAGGCAGCCGAGCGCTAGATGAGCTTTCTCTGACTCGTCCATATTCTGTAAATGTAACTCTACTGTTATTCCTCTGAGCATAATACTTTAATTTGGTCAACTCCATCCATCCATCCAGCTCGGCGTGGCTCTGTCCAAAATGAGGATTAATCAAGGGTATCTGATAGTCTACCAGAAAAAGTGCAAATTAAAATGTCAAGTGAGCCTGCCCAGTAAACTACTCCGGGGTGGCACAGTGGCACAGTGGTTAGGAATGCTGGCGTTGCGGTTCAGGGGTCCTGGATTCAGTTCCACAACTGGGGTACTATCTGTGTGGCGTTTGCATGTTCTCCTTGAGTTTACTTGGATTTTCTCTGTGTACTCTGGTTTCCTTCCACAGTCCAGGAACATGTTGGCAGGTTGATTAACTTCTGGGAAAGTTGTGCCTGGCGTGAGTGTGTGTCTGTGTCTTTCTGCGTTGTGATGCGATGGCCAGGGTGTACCCTGCCAGTTGCTTGCCAGGATAGGCTCCAAGTCTCCTGCAACCCTGAATTGGATGAAGAGGTTAGAAAATGGATGAATAGATGTTACACACCATAGCCTAGCATAGCCTTTCTTGTGTAAGGTTTAGACTGTCCCTAACATTTCTTCGTAATCCAAATCTTTGTAATTTACATTGGAGGAAATTCAGAATTCCCCAGAGGCTGACCTGTCCTCCACACACATCCCTAAATCACTTGGGCTGGAAAAAATTAGCTGACAGATTCTCCTGCTCCCATTCCGTTGGCAAAAATGAAAGAGCAATAAATCTCTCTGACGACTTGTTATATAACTATGCCTTTCAATTAACAGCTGTATAAGGCTAGTGTAACTCGGAATAGTTTAGAAATTCTGTTCAACAGCAATCGGTTGTCCTGGTGAAGTCAGAGACATTCTGTTACTTTAGCTGTTTTTTTCTCACTCCTTACTTTAAAAAATCATCAATGTGTAAAATCCAGTGAACGTTAAAAGGGGTCTTTAAAGTGTAACATGTTCCATGCTTGTCCAAAACCAGAGCATATTGAAAATTAAATGATATTTGTCTCCTCAAAAAACTAAATCTACCTTAGTTTACTGGGTGTTATCCAGAGTTCTTGGGTGAAGTCAGGACTCTTTCTTTAGGAGAGTGTAAATGGCTCAGACAGCCTGTTAGTAAGATTCCAGATCAACACCAAAATGTATCACAGGGTCATGGGACCTGGATTCATTCTTTTGATCCTTTCCAGTTTAGTTTTGCCCTTGCAGTCAGTCACAGGGGTGTTTTCCTTTGTTACACAAAGTACTGTGATGTGTGACCTTGAACTAATCATTTCCATGGAAACCCTGAGAGACACAGTTCTGTGGCTGACAGGTATGATGACAGTTGAGAGCAATTTCCAGTTCTCAGTGTCTGATTACTTCTCCGATGTCGGGACAAAGCCAAGCATCTGAGAGAGGGGGAGGGTAGACCTGAGTCAATGATGAGAGACTGTCCCTGAGCAGTGTTTGGTTTTCTCTCGTAAACTTAGTCTGCTCATATTACTAAATGTCTTAAAGGTTTTTGAGTTGAGCCTTATTTAGAATAAAAAATCTCAGTGTTCTTCTGTGCTGGCTGTGACAGGACAGCTCTGTGGCATTGTTTAGTGGATTAAGTGATGTTTTATATGGCATGGGTTATCAAGAGCTTTCTGGTGTGGCAGATTGTGTCTTTCTTATGTCTCTCTTGTAGTCTGGGACTGTCAAAATCATGTAGGTTTTAATCTGGATCTGGGTAGGAACCCCTGATGTCTAGACTGAGATGTCTGGAGTGCCAAGCATGTTGTGTTTATCTGGTCTCCTCTCAGATAAAGGAGGGATCATTTGGGTGGCCTGCCCAGTTGAGTTCATACTGTACTTAATGATTTCATGACTCTACTATGAAAATTAAGTCAGAACCGATCATTTGGAAACTTTAAGAATGGGTGACTTTTTTTTTCTCTGGAATGTTTAACTAGGAAAATAAGTGTGGGAATACAAAACTAAACTATTGCTAGAAATAATCTTTTCTAGGACTTTTGAGCCATAGTGTTTCGAGAAGAACTGCCTTGCTTTTATTTACTGTACAACAAGAGGAAAAGAGTTAATTGCTACAGTATGTGGTATGATATGCCTAATCGGAGGAAAGCGAATGTATAATATACCCTCTGGTGACAAGACGTTTGAAACAGTAGGTTATCTTGACTTTCCTGAGGCAGCCCAGATCTTTGGAATGTGTACACCTTTGTCTCTGAAAGAAGGCTCTTTCTTAGGGTTATTGCAAACGTTCAGCATTTGACACAGTGTTGTTTCAGAGCTCAGACTGAATTATTTCCCTAACTCCAAGTCTTAATCAAGTAGGTGAGGCAGAGTGGAAAAGTATTGTGTCTTGTAGTTTTCCATGCTGTTACCCTGAGCCAACATTTTTCATTTAATGTAACATTAAAAGCAGTTGCTGAGACTGATCTGCCCTTTGAAGTTTTACTGTTAAACTACAGGTTTCAGATGCTCAGATTCTGGTTTGCTTATTTTCCATGATGCTTTGGGTACTGCAATGATCATTCTTATTTCTCCGTTTCTTATATATCACAAGATATATACAGAAAACCCATTACAGAGCACAGAATTGGTGGAATTTCCAGAAAGAAATTCAGTGCTGTGTGAAGTGGAGTTTCTCTCAAATTAGGAGCTTGTTTCATTGCATTGGTCCTGGTCTGGTTTTCATTCATGTAAACCTGCCTCTATGTACAGCACTCGCAATCAACCTTGTCCTTCTTGATCATTTTTTCATCCTTTCTTAAGTTGCTTTTCTTTAAGAAGTTTTGCTTTTAATCTGAGAGAGACTATTCAGAGGAGAAATTAATAGTTTCTGTTCCTTTGAGACATCTGAATTTTTAATTCAAGAATGAATAGTCGGAATTACCTATACGCTGTACACTGGCTCCCTCTTGTGACCGAAGTATAAATTCAGGATTCATGAAAGGGCTTGAGGATTTCATCTTTGTGATGTGTAAGTTTCAGTTCCTGTAAATATTTGAGCAGGCTTGCACATGCATTATCATTTGTCTTGTCGTCAGTTGCAGCTCTCAAAAAAACCCATTTTCCAGTGTCTTTACAGTCAATGAATACCATGCACTGAAACAAATCCGCAGTGTGTTTGGGTAAATAAAGTAAGTTTTTCAAAGTAGTTTGTGTATTACTGTTTTACCAGAAGCTATGAGATAATTGTTAGATTTTGTAAACACTTTTTGTAATAGTTTCAAGGCTTCTATGATGTTTCTTCTCTGTCTTTTGCTTGTTTGTGCGCTCGGCAGAACCCTAATGCTTCTGCTTGATTCCTAAACGTAAGCTAACAAATCCCTCAATTTGTCTTTTCAAGCTGTGCTGTGTTTTGCGTCTTTTATTTTATGCCGCGAAATCTGACAGCTCATCAAGAAGAGAGGTGATGCGCTGAACAAGTAAACACTGTGCGTGACAGCTCACCAGCCCAGTGGGGAGGGCGGGCAGGTCATTGTTTTGTATGTTAGTCCATAAAAGGGAGTACCAGGTAATATGCTTCTGAACGAGACTTCGGTGTCGAACTTAAAGCAAGATCAAAAGAATAATCCTGCCCTGCTTGATTTTTGAGAGCTCTTATTGTCTGGGTTTGGGGATTTGCGCGTCCAGGCCTTCGATGGGGACGTCTTTTAATTCTGCTGCTGTTTTCCTCTCCCTCCTAACAGTTTTCTTGAGGACCCCCAAGAGCCTAGAATCCGTGGACCCCCAGTTCACGATCCGGCGGAAAATGGAACAAATGAGGGAGGAGCTGGAGCTGACGGGGCAGCTCAGGGAGGTGAGGTGACAGCAGGACAGGGGGCCCCTTTCCGCAGCTTCATTTAGGGATATTGGAGGCGTTAAAGTCAGCCTCTCCGAACAGAAGCCAAGAAGAGCTGCAGTCTTCCCCCGGCAGCCTCGGGGTTTAGTTACTGAAACCTCTGTGGCTGCCAAAACCGCGGCTCGCAGAAACTCGACAGTGTGGGAGAGAGGGGCTCTGGTTCCCAGGCTCTGATCCACTCGTCAGGGGCTGACACAACCCGCAGGCTTCTCCCTCTTCACAGTGACCAGCACAGCCACTCAGCACGTGAAAGTGCTAAAAATGAATTTTGAGGAGAAATTAAATCATCGCGGCACACGTGCTATGAAACGGCAAGGGCACCGACACCGCGTGCACACGCTGCTGTAAAAGTCTGCAGCTAGACGCCTAGCTGGTCTCGGAGGGGCGCTGGTGGGGCTGGGAGATGTGGGAGGGTGGCTTCGTTTTCGAACGCTTGCGCGGGGAAGAGCCGAGTGCGAGGCCGGGCTGTGTGAGCACGTTCTGAGGTTGGCGAGGGAACGCTGCGGTGGAGTGTCATTATTAGGACTCATAGAGGAAGTGGTACTGTGTACTGTCACTGCCGCGGTTGGTTTTGCAGAGAAACGGGTGTTTCGGAAGTCCTGTGTCCCCCGGGATGTGTAGGCCGGTGTCAGTCCCACACCGCTGCTGTCTGCTGCGTTGGCTCAGTCTGTCGTGCAGCAGTGGGGAGGGACGGCCTGGGGGAGGCTGGGCGACTTGGCTGACTGCTGTTTCCCTGTGCTCTCTCCGCCACGCGCTGTGCGCTGGATCCCCAGGCCATCGAGAGCCGACTGAAAGTGGTCTTACCGGAGGACCTGGGAGCCTCCCTGATGGACGGCGTGGTCTTGTGCCACTTAGTCAACCACATCCGCCCTCGATCGGTCGCCAGCATTCATGTCCCATCACCAGCGGTGGTACGTCAGGGTTCGGAAACCCTTCCTAATCAACACTGTTCTGGGCCCAGACCGGCGCATTGCGTGCATGACTTTTCTTCCCCGACATAGACTTTCACATTGTAGTCATACTTGTATTACTTGTATTCATGCAGCAGTTCCCCCTCTAACAAAGTGGCTTTTACTGTAGCTTCTTGGTGTTCTGAAATACGTCTTTGCAACTGTTCCATCCACAGCCTAAGCTTAGCATGGCCAAGTGCCGGAGGAACGTGGAGAACTTCCTGGACGCCTGCAGGAAGATGGGGGTGCCAGAGGTAAGCCCGGTCCTGCTCGTGGAGCTCGTGGAGCATGCCGTTCTGCAGAGGGAGGCCTGGCTGTAGTACTGGGATGAACAGAAGCTCGTCCAAGGTGGAGCTTGAACGTCCCTTATTGACTGCCCTTCCGAGGCTGTAAGCCTGTGTTCTAATGGTCTTGGCTGAAAGGGTCATAATAAGGCATCAGAGGATAGTGTTTTCATCCCAGCACTAGAAGCACTGGGACCTTGACAGTGGACGACACCAGTCAGTCAGGGAAGCACCATTTCGCCGATTCATGTGGCCTTGGCATGGCTTCAACATACAGTGCCTTACTAGACTAATTTCTGTCGGAGGAATGGCCCTACAGGCCTCATTACAATGTGGACATAGATGTGATAGCCTGTAGATTGATGTGATAAATGTGGAGGGGAGATGGAAATCGCCAGGGAACCCTTTGTATAGTCACTGTAAACCGGCTGTAAGAACCAAGTCAACAGTATATGAGAGCCCCTTCTGCATACAATAGACAATTTCCCATAGCCCGTTATTAGAAAGCAATTTGAATCGTTACCCTAACAAGTGCTTCTTCTTAATCTCATCTCCTTGTGGTGTGATCGGCTCAGCACCTAGACTTTTAATAAAAGCTTCTTTGCGGCACGTGAAACGTAGACGCGCCCAGGCAGAGTGTCGTCTGTTAGAATGTTGTCAGACCAGGGCTGGCCTTTGTACTGTACAGGTCACCTGGTTATTGGAATTAAAGTAGGAATTCCTGGTTTGGGGGATTGTGCTATGATGTTGTATTCAGATGCGCTCTTCTTCTGCCACGTTGCATCTAGAGGGCGGGAAC